AAGAATTATTTATCATTGAATGGGAAATATATTTTGAAATCATAATTAACTTTTATTATTCTTTTCATGTATACAATGATGTTTGATATCAAGTTTAATTAATCACAGACATTCAAAAGAAGGTAATAAACAGTTGTAAATAGTTCTAACTGGTTCACAAAGTATACAAACAGCAGTTTTTGTGCTTTTCTTTAGCACGGCAAGCATAGAAAGTAATATTTAACATATACATGTGTAATTATGCAAACAAAAAGCATTTCAGCCCAATAATTATGTCAAATTATGTCTATATTGAAAAGCTGATAAACAAATTGCAGCAGCAAGTTTGAGAAAAAAATTTGTGAAATTTTTACTCCTAATTGAATGAGCTGCGAATTCAAGAGTTAACAAGTGTAAAAAATATTTGTTTAGTTGGTCTCACCACCTTGCATGCATAGCTGGGTTCGAGATATTAGTTTTCTCTAACTTGTAATGCTTCAGAGAAGTATTTAGACTGACTCTGTGTCATTTGCTGTTACAAGGTTCACCATGTGTAAGTGTAAGCTGTCATCTGACTTGCCATAGCCACACCCACTTAAATTAAGGTTGGTTGCTAAGGGAACCTGGTAGGTATTTGTATTAATCATTAATCTTTATGAATCAAGCTAAAGGCTGATTCACACTGAATAGTTAACGTAACTTGAGGCCACACGTTAAGACAGAAAGTGCTTTATAAGCGAATGGCCACCGTTTATGTAACATAAGAATAGAGATAATTTCTATTCTTACGTTACGTAAACAGTGGCCATTGGTTTGTACAGTACTTTATGTCTTAACATATGGCTTCAAGTTACATTACCTATCCAGTGTCAATCAGCCTTTAGTCTGTGTATGTAATTTGGTTGTTCAAATTGCTGTAAATAGTGGGCGGGCCAGGCTTACCCAAATGTGTTGTCCAGTAATTTTAAATTAACTTCTTAAAGTGACTAAGTAAACTGTAGATCATTACTATGTAAACAATTTGTAAACCACACTGAGAAAGATCATTTAACAGGCTTAATCTTCTGAATAATTACTTCCAATCTATGCAGGTCTTATTGGCCACATTCACCAATTACTCTAACCGCAATATTAGTGCCCACCCAAAAATTTAACCCTAGATCTGCCCCTGGTTGTAATTGTAATATTTGTTATCCCTCCATATTGGTTTAAAACCTATAAGGTGCTTTAACTTTCAGTGA